GCCACTACGAGACAAAGCACACATCTTTTGAGCAAACGTACCCACTCGCATCCGAAATGAAGTCACAGAAAAATAAACAGAAGAGCCCAATATGATCAGAATGCTAACACATGAATTCACTCACCAACAATGATGTTAAGAGAGAGAATAGAGCTGAAACAAGTGGTTTAATAATAATAACCACACAAAGTCCCTGCACACAAATTTCTCTTTTTAGAAGATGAGAAAAATATAATATCATGGTTTTCTTGGTTAACATCACACCACCCTGAATGAACTGAATCAGTTAAATTATTTTCTCTAAAATGAAGTACCTTGATGCACATTTTCAAAAGGTTTTTTGAACTTTCATCTGATGGGACGTTACAGTATGTATTTAAGTCTAAATGTAAATACCATAATCATAATCAAAACATGGGCGTGCACTGCATGTGGTGGGTTTTCAGAAAATACATCCGCTGCTCTGTGGTGTTGCATGCCTTAGATCAGTTGTGCCCACACTCTTTCGGCTTGCGAGCTACTTTTAAAATGACCAAGTCAAAATGATCTACCTACATTAATATATATATATATATATATATATATATATATATATATATATATATATATATATATATATAGATAGAAAGAAAGGGGAAGAAAGTGTGTCGCTGAATCTGACAATGGTGCAAATTAAAGCAACGTTCACACAGTGTGTCTCGTGAATGATGAACTCAAGTCAAGAGGAAACAATTAACTCACCACTGGCTTTAAAGTGCGTTAATTCACTGCTGTTCAATTACTGAGCATATGTTTTATGAGCAGAAAGTCAAATAAATAAATAATTCAATAAAAAAGTACAGGCACTCTATTGTCTACGACAGTTCGGATGCAACTTTAACTTTAACCAAGCGCAATTCCAACACCAAGCAACTAAACGAGCACACAGCAAAATCATGTTGGCGGTGCGTAGCGGTGCTTGCAAGTTAGCTACTTCATGCTACTTCATGCTAACGTGACTTCATGCAGACGATATTTCGTTGTGAAAGCTGAAACTCCGCAGATTCCAACAGTATAAATCACGCGACAACCTAAACTCCCTAGAACCTGCAGCCAAACAGAAAAAAAACATCACATCATGCTGCCACAACCTATACATCATGTCTTACCTTTGTGTTTCTTTCCGACCGAGGGCACACTAACGCTGCCTATGGCTTCTCCGGGTACTGTGGCTCGTTTTTGACTCCATTTCAGCTGTTTGCATTAAATTGTATGGTGTGGAGGAGAACAGCCTATTTGCAGCCTAAAAGTGAAAGTACATCTATTTCTGGGGGATGGATTTCAGGTTTATTTGATTGGGAAAAATACAACATGTATAGAGAATTGCAATAACAATTTTTCTCAATAAAGTGAAAAATAACAAAATATAATACATTTTGTTGTCCTTAAAGCGGTACGACTTGCCGACATACAGTATATACTGTATATATATATACACATGCAGATACAGGTTATGCTGCGTTACATTTACATATACCGTGACATATATGATACATACACCTCTTCAGAAATCTCACAAGTGTTACTTTAAGCATCACGCCAAGATCATTCAAACAGACCCACAGACTGTTAGTAAGAAGTGCAGCAACCGTGACATCACTCATTGGTTGTTGAGTTTGGCATTGAGTCCGTCTGCATCTTTTTGCAACCAGACGAGATGGTTTAGCTAAGTACAACCGAACGCTGTTTAACATAGGCAACATACAGAGCTGACCATGCCTTAGTAGTGACCTGTCAATCACAGGGTAGCCCCGCCCTAAAGCATACCCTGCTTTATGGTCTATTTGACTCGAAATGGGACAAAGAATTACTAAATGAACATCATGCTGTATTGAAGAAGACTTGAAACTGGAGATTGAGACCTTAAACTAATGTTTAATGTGTTTACTGAAGTAATAAATCAAGTGAGAAGTAGAGTCATTTTCTCACAGACTTATATACAACCGGACTTCTTTTTGCAACCAAAGGAGTCGCCCCCTGCTGGCCATTAGAAAGAGACAATAAGATCCAATTAAATATTTAAAGCACTCCTCACGCATGCTCACTCATTATTTCCATATCGGCTGTTTGGATCAGCTGGTCTCTTCTATCCAATAGCACAACGAAACAATTCCATCGCTAGCCTATCATCTTGCTGCTGTCTCTTTTTAAATATGATTGTCTCTCTACCTTCAGTACGTTCATGCTGCTGTTATGCGCCCCTCCACCTCCCCCATCACCGCCCAGTCTTCGCAGATTCATCCGCTTCATCAACTCATCATTCTATCTGCCACCATCATCACCAGTGTCTGGACTTCACAGGGGGGGGGGGTGTTATCTTGCTGCTGCTGCTCGATTTCAAATCTCCCTGTAGACTCCAAGCACCACAGAATCTGTCAAGACTTTATCATCACATGTCATCTGTTAATAATAAACAATTATCTTGTCTTTATCTGACTCATCTCTCCTGGTGGAAATGTTTACGATGTTTACTGAAGTAATAAATCAAGTGAGAAGTAGGGTCATTTTCTCATAGACTTTTATACAATCGGACTTGTTTTTGCAACAAAAGGAGTCGCCCCCTGCTGGCCATTAGAAAGAGACGATAAGATACAATTAAATATTTAAAGCAGCAGTGATTAAATCATTTTAGCAAAGTTCACAATGACAGCTACCCTTTAATCATGTCATGTTTGTCTCAGCAGCATTCTTATTTGTCATGGTAACACAAAAAGGGGGATTTAAAAGCACAAAAGCATGACTAATGGTGTGGTGGCGAGGTTTTCTGCTCCTCAAGGTCAGCTCACTTCCTGCCTTATCTCATCAGCTTTCATCAGCTGATGAGATAAATCATGAAGGATTTTCTTGTCAGCTGAATACAGACAGGAAACTGTGAGCAGGGTCTTGCGTCTTCAAGCCGGGGGCCTGGCAACTTTTAACTGATGGTGAAGTAAACAAACAGGCTGTCGGCGAGACTGCCGCGGTCAGAATGATAAATGTCTGAATGTCACCACCTGCGAAAAGGAGACAAAGTGTTCTTGAACACGTCAAACTTTATTTTTCACTCCCGTAGAGATCTTTGATCTTACATTAGCAGGCTGAGAAGAGAAGGACGGGGCTGACAGCGCAGATTGCAGCACTTTTCCTCAACAAAACTTTCAGGTCTAAGTGTGTTCAACAGATGTAAATGAAGCTATATCTTAAAAAACAGAGAATTTTCCCTCTGATTTGTAATAATTACAGGTCTTTTGTTCTCTGGATCTTCTAATGAATATCCCCTGATAATTATAGTCCCATGCTAATCTGGGTAAATTGCATCATTTAAGTAAATTGTGTTAGTTGGGTAAATAACGGAACTTTGTTCAATTTCTGTCGTATAGATTTGTAGCTTTTGTTTTTGTCTTTCAGCACAAATTTGTCCGTATTTAAGTGCTCATCCTCTGGGTAGACTGTCAAACAGCTGAAGCGGAAGGAGCTGGGGGAAGTTCTAGGTGTAATTTCAGGACTCATGTAGCGACTCAGAATGAACACCCCTTTGGTGAAAAAGCTGCAGCAGCTAAAATCGAATAATGAGCTGGATCTTATACTCATGCAGCGTGTTCTGTAGTAAAATGCAGAAATCACACGTTTAATTTCTCCTGAAACAAAAGTCTCTTTGCTCCTGTAGGGTGACTGTTGGGGATTTCTGGAACAAAAGATTGTCAGGGAGGACAAGTCAAATATAATGAGGTACATGTTTTTTTTTCTGCTTCATGCTGGACAGCTGATGTATCAAAGAAAATCTGATTGATTCATACCGCTGTGCATGAGCAGTGAAAAGAGCCGTCGTCCTGTTTACCTCAACAGTATGACAGAAGTGTAACGTGAAACTACGTCGGTTAAGTGTTTTCAGAGTGTTGACTGACATGGATGTGTGGGTGTGATCAATCTCTTATTGCTGTTAACTATTCCCTTAGGCAGATGTGCCACAGCAGGATAAGAGTGTGAAGGTTTTTATTGCAACCAAAAACTACACAAAGTGACTTCACAGATCAGCTCCCCCGATATGTCACTTTACTCAAGCTGTTTATCACAATCGAATTGGTATGAACCAATTAAAAATAACTGAAATACTTTAAATTGCCATACGCCGATTCAGAAATTGTTTTTTTCCTCATTTTATAAGCTGTGAATGACAGAGTTGGTCTGTCGGTTCACCACTTTGGTCCAAGACTGAAATATTTCAAAAACAATTGGATGGATTTCCATTACATTTTGTACAGATATGCATGGTCCCCAGAGGATGACTCCTGCTGACTTTGGTGATCCTCTGACGTTTAAAATTGCAGGTGTATTACCAGATACGTGCAAAACTAATGACATTGGCATGCCCCTCAGCTGTTCTTTGCTTTTTTGTGCTAATTAGTAAAAGTTCTGGAAAATACTTAATATTTACCACCTAAACATTAGCATACAAGCTTTTACCACCTCTGTTACTAAGTACAGCTTCACAGAGCTGCTAGCCTCAGATCCTGTTTTAAGTTATGTACCATCAAATGTGTGTTTGGAATTATTTTCATCCCAAAGAAGGTGTGCACATGATGTATTGTACAAACCGGTGTGCTCCACCCAAGTTAATTTAAATTGCAAATTAGTTTGACATGAAATATGCAGGCTTGTCTGTCACAGTCAGTGGTGTTCAGCAGCGCACACGATATGGACCAACGAACAAAATGCCTGCAGGAGTGTCTTTCTTTTCCATCTCCTCCTCTTTGATCATGATTTTCCTGAAAACAACAAACAGCATGTAACATTTTTCAAACAGCCGCGATGCCTTCAGTCATTTAGCAGCTTAATATAAAAGTTGATTGACAGGTCAGAGACGGGACTTATTATCTTCTCGTAGTATCCTTGTCGTCATTGTTTATAGCTCCCCTTACACAGCAGGAGGCTTGTCTTAAAGACAGTGACAACAAAGAAAACAATAACATTTATTTATTGATTCATAGGTTATACATTTCATGATATAATAGCGATATATTATTATTGGAAAAGATAATATAATCCAATTGCATTTCTATACATAAATACAAAATCTGAGGTAGGGCCTCAAAGATTGATGACACTGAAAATAAATGAATGCATTTCACATATATGATTTATATATATCCTTTTCTTTTTTTCATTATTTTAAAACATTTTTGTTGTATATCTACTCTCTATTTTCAAATGAAAAAGACGTCGTGGGTTGTTGGAGGCACATATCTATATCCATAGGCAGCAGTACCTCACATAGAACACGCAGAAATATATGACATTACTCAAGTAATTAGAAATTTAACCTATGCATTCATAGGTCAGACAATAAAGTGCCAAAAAGACACAACAGACATAACAATAGGAATACTTGTACCATATGAGACAGACGATAAGCTATTCTGTGGTGTTATTTTTGAAATACATACAATATTATACCATTAGAGGACATCTATAAGGCCAATGGTTACCTGAAGATGTTTTGTAACGTATTGGCAAACATCGAGGAACACTACGTGGGATATGAATGGCAGTATCTCAACCTCCTCTACGCAGATGACACATTCCCTTTTTCTTCTAAAGTTTGTTTTCTGTTTTCACTACAACAGTACTCTTTCTTTGGTTACCTATACTGCCTAAAGTTGACTTGCAGGCAAAGCAAATTGACAGTTAATTTTCCTGTTTTTTTTTTCTTTTGTCGTCCTTCTCTGTAAGAAGTACAACCCTAAGTTTCTTAACATTATGTAGAACAAAAAGCTCCCTGACGAAAACATGCATTGACTTATACTATTGAGAGAGAAAGGAGAAGGATTACTATACATGGACATTAGGTTACAGCAACACAAACTGCACATGCAAGCTCTTCGGTGGTATATTTTATGACGCAATGTGGTTTTAGCTGTTTTTTTTGTTTTTTTCCTCAAACCAAAAGCAGAAAAGCCCACTAGAAATGGAAAGACAAAACACAGAACTTATAGCTATTTATCTGTGGCCATAAAGGAGATCATTCAAATCTATCTCCGGGCATGAAAAGGCTTTTGTCATTCAAGTCTTACTCAAAAGAGCATACTGTCCACTACATCCAACACATGATTTTAAATGCCAGCCTGCTCTCAAGTAAATGGTTGCCATTGGATTGATTTTTTTTTGAGCACATCATTAACAGTTTTAATCAGCTCAGGTTCACAATTGGTGGTCCAAGCCCATCACAACAGAGAAAGGGGAGCATCGGGCCGAGGCATCTAAGGAAAAGGAAATATTGTAAATCTCCTCTGGTTCTTTCAGCGATTTACTCTGAGACTGACCATGCAAACATCTGTTTTCTGACAGTTTAGTGGAGTTCAGTAAAAACTAATACAGAGACAAACACACACACACACACACACACACACACACGGGCATACACAGACATACATTGTTATCACGTTTGAACAAATAGAGCTAAACGCACTAAGTCTTAACAAAAGCAACACAGTGGAGTAAGCAAGCTATTTAACAACAGGGCTTTTGTGCTCATTAATTGATTATGCTTTTTTTTTCTTACAACCTCTAAAATCATATCTGTGCTATTTTCATGTCAAGATCATGAAAAGACATGGCTTAGAGAAATGGTTCGGGAGACCCTTAATTAAACCTCTAAGCGACTGTAACTGCATCCATATCTGCAACTTCCTTTCAAACCACTCAACACCATCAAGTGAACGCCTGCAGCGTTAAAAGCATAACAAAGCCGATTGGTTACGCAACTTGTTATGCAACTTATCCAACTGGTCAAACCGTGGAAAGGACTAATTGCTTCTGAGTGGCAACATAGTGTTACTGTGTCGATAATTGGTTGGCAGCCCACGAAGTAAAAGTTGTCTGCCTGTCATGTCACATTTAAAAAGGCTGCAAAGCCATTCGGACGCCTGCTGGGCTGCACCGGGCTGTTCATTCAGGCTGCTGCGTTGTTACATCTGGAGACTACTTTTTACACACACACACACACACACACAACCTGAAACACACTCACAGTAGCTCATTTGTGCTGATGATGTCTTGACAGCACAACTTAAAGGGACGTTGTGTTCTAAATTACAGTAATTTGACTGATTGTGATGGGCCACAGTATCAGAAAGGTGACCAGAAGGTCCCTGCAAGCCTTTTTGTTTTCTGCATATGTAAAATAAAGCTGGTCAGTGTATCGACGGTCAACAAACTGGCTCAAGTGCCATTGAATTTAAAATGATTACAAGGCTATTAAGGAAATTAGATTTTCATACTATTGTTTTCCATCTAACTATGTTAGATAAACCAAGATACTTGATTTAGCATTGCACGCAGTTCGTCAAAATAGGTTAACTCACTCTTATAATCATCGCAAGGCGCGTTTAAGCAACAGCAAGCAAAAAGCAAAGTGATGCTGCAGTGAGGTCATCAGGAAGTAGTATCTTGATTCCACTCCTTTGCGACACACTTGCACACTGCTTCCAATATAGTTTAGCATAAGGATGGCTCTACTCTGTGTTTCCTATGCACTGAATGCTGCTATTCCTGCAACTACCGGGGTAGTCGGATGGAATCGAGTATACCTGAGACCCTGTTTTCACGTGGACATACAGAGAAGCAAGAGGCTTAAGTCTGAAATGGCAAAGAGGTCTCCAGAGGTCTACCACAAACAACAAGAGACAAAGTACACTTCCAGGAAAGAGGGAGGCCATTTTCTAGTCTAATCTTCATCTACTCACACATAGCAGCTGCTCCTAACATTTTGAGGACGCGACAACACACACACTTGCTCCTGGAAGAAGTGATTTTTTTTTTTAAAGAAGTGTACACTTTGTACAAGATATTACACAGCTAGCAAGAGAAACGTGGTGTTCAGAGAGACATGAACACACACACAAATGCACTCACACTCTCAATCGCTTATGTTTCTAGTTCTCTCCTCGGCTGAAGGCTATTTATATATATCTGTATATGCATGTAATTATTTATATATATATATATATATATATTATACTGTTACTCTACTGATGTGATGCACATTGTAAAGATGGTTTTCACAAATGGCTTGACAAGTTCACAACACATACAGAGATAAATACGGCGTCTAAAATATATGCACAGAGTGACTATCGGGTCAGATCTTCGAGACTTAAAAGGGTTAAATGGCCATGTTACTAGAGGGAGGATAGACGACTCTAGTGGTTTCCTACGTTAGGAATGTGTCCTTTACATTCTAGGATAATACAATAGAGGAGAATACGAGGTGGAATAAGACTTACTAAACAGACAAAGAGAGAGGGTATCACAAATGGTCCCTCGGACTCGGAGAGATAAATTAGATCCAAGCTTCTATCATACTGCAGAGTCATCCAGGCCTATCTCAAAGTGGTAATCAGGATGCATCCGCTACTCTACTGGGACGTAGGAGGCACACATTGCAGATTCTGACAAAGCAAGAGCAACTGAGCAGTAGCTAGAGTGAATATACATATATACTGTTGGATAGGAACAAAATGTGACACCAGTGCTTTTTTTTTGTTTTTGCTGCTTTTTTTTTTCTCCCCGAGGCAGTTGATATTATTTGTATTGCCTTTGGAAATTTTATACACAGATGGAACAAAACACCCTGCCGAGCTCGTTGAAACGCTGCTTCTCTGTCGCTCAATTTTCTTTTTGTTTTCCTGTGTCTGCTCGCACCAAGATGATTCATTATCTCTACACACAAATATGAGAGCACACGCACGCACACGCACACACAAACACACATACATACAGGACTCCATAGGGAGCAGCTATGGTGAGTCTAATTTTGCAAGTGCAGTCTGAGCTGTGCCACTTTATGACACAATTTTCTCTTGGAATAATGATCCCTGGGAAGGGTTCTGAAGTAATCAGTGGTCATGTGTGGGGGGCAATGATAGCCCGTTAACCGAGTACAAAGCAGCAGCAGAGGAGTAGACTCCACTCCACCGTGAGAGAAGAGAGGAAGTGGTGAAGAAGAAGAGAAGGAAGAGGAAAGGGGGCCTGTTTCCACATCCATGATACAGGGGGGAAGACAGGGAACAAAGAGGGTGACGTACGGACGGGAGAAAGAGCGAGGAGGAGGAGGAGGAGGAGGGAGAACAAGAGATGGAGGTTGACCCGCTCCCGGTGCTCCCTGCAGGGGTTGGAGGTGGTGCGTGCGGTGCTGCACGGGCGGCTGCTACTGGTAGGAGCCGAGCTGGAAGTCCTTGGGGGGCAGCTTGAGGCCCAGGGAGTTGGTTCCCAGAGGGTCGGTCATGTTCTTGTAGCGTTCTCCGCGGTGCTTCATCAGGAACGGACCCCAGTCGGGCTGAGGGGAGCAGACCAGCTTCAGGCGCTGCGAGAGGAGAGGCAACACACAGGGGGGGTTTATACGGGAGGAGCAGATACATCAAGTCTGACCTGAAGTGGGGGGGTGGGGCACAGAATTGTTGTCTCTAACAATAGCTTGGTTGTTGAAGCTCCTGATGTAAAGACGGATTTCATGCCTCAACTCAAAATCAATAAAGCATCAAAACAGGTTGAGTTGTTTTGTTGTTGTTGTTTTATAAAGCAAGGAATCCGCTCGTCTGTCTGCGTTTTCTCCGCATATCTCGACAGCTGCTCATCTGAATTCACTTCACACTGTGCGGGTGTTTTGCTGGTGACCCAGTGGCAAATTTGGTGCAATTTGGACACGTGACATGTTCAACAGTATTAAACTTTGAACAGACAAGCGAACGGCGCTCTGGGAATCCCGGCCGGCACTGACTGAATCATAGATGTGCTCTGAATTCCGTTTATAGCTTATTTAACAGTAAAAGTACTGCATTCAAATTTGCACTTCAAGTGAAGAGTGAAATAGAGGCGCTATCAGCACAATGCACTTAAATGCTCTTAAATGCAAGTAAGTACTTGCTTGCTTTTATTGTTTGTATTTCTTTTGTAATCTGTGACGCACTTAGGGTTGCCTCTGGGTCTGAAATGTGCTAAATAGATTTACTTGCATAAATAACTTCACGTCTGTTCAAGGTAGAGCTATCAATTCCAATATAATGCTGGATAGTTTTATGAATAATAATTCATTATATTTTAAGTATTAACAGAACATTTCTCTGTCAGGTAAAAGTATGACTGCGATGTAGAAGTACACAGTAAGTAGTATATAGATTAGTCGCATATTTTTTAACTGCTGTTGTGGCCCTTTGTAAGTTACTCTGGCGTACAATGACTTAGAATAGTAACATCATTCAATTATTTTCATATCTAGTTGGGGGCCCCAGGCCCAGGTTGTCATCGGTAAAGTCTGCCCCTGGTGTTTTTTCCCCTGAACCAGAGTGTATTTCACCACTGATCCGTGAGCAGCCTCGGGGCGTGCAATAGACGTGAGTGTGTGACGCAACTGTGTCATGACCGGTGTGAAGGTGTCTGTATGAGCGGTTCTCGAAAAAAGCTGCAAGCAGCAACACTACAGGCCAAGCGTTCGACCTGTTCTGAACATGTTCTGAACAAGCACTCCGCTTGTATTGTCATTTACAGTTAAGTTTGAATCTCACCACGCCAATAGGTGCAGACAAACACGTTTGGCCACTGGTAGCTTACTTTCCCTCAGATGCAGTGACACAAAATGGATTTTGGTTGAGAACCCCTGCCCTAATGTATGAGTGAAAACAATGATGATTCTGTATTTCTTACAGTCAAAGAAAGGAAAGAGATTTAAATGTGAAGTTGGAGGACGGCCTTTGACTGAGGCAGCTGTGAGAGCTGCTGAGGGAACAGAGACGTTGGGAGATAAAGCCACGATCATCATCATCCATCATTCTGAGTATTTAAAAGGATCCTATGGACTCGCAGCAAAAACAATGGTCAAATTAATACTCAACCAGCAGTCCGCCTCTCCCTGCTAATGAGCGAAGGGTGAGAATATTGATTTCGACGACAGGATGTGTGTGTGTGTGTGTGTGTGTGTGTGTGTGTGTGTGTGTGTGTGT